TACCCACCGCGGCGGAGTTGGCTCCCACCGAACTCGGGCTTTTATGCTCTGGGGTGACCGTTAGCGCAGCAGGGTGGACCATCCCTCGGGACGGTCTCAGCCCCGGCAGGACACCAGGGTGGCCGCCAGACCAATGTCCGCCACCCCCACCCCTAAGTCCTACAGCAACGGCCCTCAAAACACCTGACAAGACCAAAAGGACCTACCCTCCCCCCCCCAAAGCCTGTCATCCAGTATCGATACCAACAAGTACCTAAAACAGGTTGTTATTCGCCAGACCACATACCTACTTCACTAGTTACAAGTAAAGAGAAGGAGTCTGTGGCCAAACCATTCGAATTCCTCAGCACGGATAAATGACCCAGCATAAATACTCGTATTGCACCTATGATGTATTTAAATACCTACATGTTTGAAGAAAATGGTAATATTTTCTGTAACGATAAATGATTTGCCTTGCACTCGGCTATGGAATGAACGGAAATGGAAATGGAAAGTTACGGGGTAATTAGTAGGAATTGATACTGCCTTCGTTTTATGTCGCTAATACCTAAATGATTTCATTTCTTTCTCCGTCAACAAATACACGCCTTGCGGGTTAAAGCAAGTTTTTGAACGAATAACCTGGTGCCGTGGTTAGTCAATCACGTCAAAGGTTAGAATGCAGCGAATGAACAGGTTGACTAAGCCAGAGACCCCTCTAAATTAAGAGATAATTAAATAGCCGTTGACACACACATCGTTATACATAATGGTAACAAAATTGTCCATTCTTTAAAGAAAATACTACAAATAGGGCGAAAGAGCAATCCATTACTGCCGCTGCTCAGTGGCCGGCTTCATCCGTTCCCGTGCGTCAGCCGGTTTCCATGACAGTGGAGCTGTCAGCTCGGCGGGTCGGGCTTCGACAGGACGGAGCAGCAGCAGTGCCGTGTCGCCAGTCCCGCCGGGCACACTGCACCTCCAGCTGGCAGCTCCGACAGTGCTCAACCCACGGACGACGGTAAAGGGCGGGTGCACGGTCACAGTGTTCTGCTCAGGGTCCAAACTGAACTCTTTAATCCACTCGGGGGCGTCTAAATGCTCCCTAGTTTTCTTTGCGAACATCTAAAAGAGGATAGGTACATACCTACTTTTCCCAGATGTGAGAATTTCAGACTCAGGTCATTCAAGGTTAGGTAACAGGGTCACAACAAGTGGTCTCTTCCCAGTACAAAAATTTAAATGCTCGTGTAGATACACCTGCCGAACGATCGCTGCAACTTTGTGCGATTAATAAGAAAAGCAAGATGTATCCAACTTATTTTTTTACTGGTGATCTAAAATCAGATCAATACGTTCAATTTTGCAAACCCTGTAGGTATTAATTTGAAATTTGCCCAAGAAAATTTGTGAAAATTGAGCTGTGCTTATTTTTGACGGAAGATACACTAAACTCGCAAGCAGCATTCAACATGTTAATATTGAAAATCGAATATTCAAATAAAAATTTATTCGACGAGCCTTCACGATGTAAAAACGACGCCGGTTAAGCAAAAGCATTTAGACCATCTCCGCGATGGTCCACAATTCAAAAAGTTCATCAGCTATGATCCAATTAACCTGAATGTCCATATTGGGAAAGTTTGACCTTTGGTGACCTCTGGTGACCTAGCCTAGAATAACCAAAAATTTTGCTCGCAATTTTTACACTCCTTTGATGATCGCTGCGTGACTTAGAAACCGAGTAAATGGGTGGGGGCGTAAACACGCACCTCCCCGCCTTTTGATGTCGGTAGATTTAGATCGCACAACCACCCTGGCGCGAGTTAACATGACTGGGTTACGGTAGATTGTATCTCAATATTATCATTTATTGGTGTTACTGTTTTTTTATTTCTTTAACCACAAAACATGGAGTGAACGCCACGACGGTGTTCAATTTTCACGGAAAATATTTAGGTGTGTGACAAATACATCATATGTTTAGGAGCGTATATTTTTGCTGGGTCTGTCAGGCATGAACTTTGAACGATTGCGGTCCTTTTTTCAGTCATCATCCAGCAGCCACCGATTTACATCTCGCTGTCTCGATGCATTCACCCGAAGTAACATCTTCCGGAGAAGACTTGACGGATGTCTGCGACTCTAGTTCTGGAGACGATTCCGCTGCATGTGACGTCAACGTGACGCTGCTGGACGCGCTGTCCGTTCCTAGGGCGTGCCGAAGGTCGGTCGCGGCCCTCCTGTCTAACTGCTCCACGGAAGGTCCGGGCCTTCCCGTCTGTCCCGCCAGTGATAGCGAGAGTCACATCTGGGCCCTCAATGTAGGCTCCTACAGTCTTCTGGTTGTCTGTCTTCTAGTCGGACTCAGCTTCAACGCTCTCTCGGCGATGACTCTTCTGCGCACCCGCTGCCTCAAGACCCTCTGCAATCGGCTGGTGCTCATCTTCTGTCTGGTGGACACGGCACTGTCTCTGCTGTTCCCGACGATTCAGCTGGTCTCCTGGACCGTGAAGGAGTCCTCGCAAGCAGCTGAGCTCGCCTGGCTGGCCGAGCTGACGTGTGCTCCACGCCGGTTCGTCTACGAGGTGTCCACCAACGCCCGGTTCAGTCTGGTGGTGTCCATCGCGCTGCTCAGATACCTGGTGGTATGCCGCAGCATCAACCCTGCGCCGACCCAGCGCAACATCCTGCGAGCTTCCCTGCCGGGCCTGGCGCTGGCCCTGGCGCGCACCATCAACAACCAGCTCACCCTGACGTCCTACTGCTCACAAGCGTACGCCGTCACCGAGTCCGGCTTCTTAATCCCGTCGCTATCGTACAATATCAACACGAACATCTCCAGCATGACCAATGGCTTCAGGATCCTCACTCTCGGGGGCGGGATTCTCATCATTGTGTTCTGCTATGGGTCCATTGCGGTGAAGACTATTACGACTCGGCTCAGAGTGCGGCGCTCTATTGCCCGACAGAAAAGGACGCTGATGCGGAAACAAAGCAACCGCATCAGCTTACAATCTATGGCAGCGACCAATGATTCAAAAAGGTCTCAAACAACGAGCTCAAAGTCGGGAAGTTCATCAGACGACAGCAGTGCTCATACTACCATGTCACCACACCAAGAGACCAAATCCAGCGCATCTATGCCACCAGTTGAAGATGTAAGTCAACCTAGCTTGGAGCCCACAGGAATAATCTTGGATCCATCTTCGCTGCAACAGAACCCCCGTACCGAGCAGAAAGAGAGTACTGAGCACCGACAGCTGGCTGCAGGAAACTCCAAAGATGACCAAGCTCCACGGATATCAGCGCCCGACAAGACGGCGACGACACAAACTTCACCAAAATCCCAATCCAAAGAAGCAGCAGCAGCACAAGCAGACAGGAAAAGTGGTCCACCAGATTCGCATTCAGCACCTAGAAAAGAAAAACTCCAAAATAAGCGGCGTTCGCAGTTCGGCCCGTTTCTGACCATCCCCAGCCGACAGACTCCGCAGCTTCGGCCGGCGCCGGCGCCAGCAGGACCGTCGTCTGCGGCACCTGAGGCGGCGTCCTCGATACCCGTCCTGCGCGTGTCGGCGCTCAACTACGACGTGATGACTTCGGTGACGCTGCTGCTGCACCTGATGGTGTTCATGCTGGCCTTTCTGCCGACGGTGCTGGCCATGTCGCTGCTGTTTGACCGGCGCGCCTGCTACCAGACGCCGCTGCAGCACCAGGTCCTCAGCTTCTGTCTCATCCTGCTGTTCCTGGTGCAGACCTCGCTGAATACCCCACTACTGCTGCTCTTCAGTGGCCAGTTTAGAGCTGCCCTCCGAGCTCTCCTGAGGGACATTGCATCTAAGCTTCGCTGATGCACTCGCTTTTGAAATGAACAGACATTTGAGTTGCGGTTGAAGTACGCCAATAGTCTTAGAACAAATTGCTTGTCATTCTCCAGAGCTACTCTTCGATAGCTTACTGCTGAGTTGATTAATTCAAGAGCTTGGATGTGCGGATGTAAAGCTAAATGCTAGCAAATGAAGCTGCATCCAAATATCCTGAACTCCAGCGCCTGCATTCTACTCTTTAGACACTTGAAAAGTAAGAAAAAAAATGTTATTTCCCACTAGTTAGAAAGCACGAGCATACACAATGTTGTCATAAAGGTTTAACCGACGGGTGTTCATTTGCCCATTGGCTAGGTAATGTGTAGGTATACGTAACGAAATGACATTGTTCATTGAACCGTAGTGCGAATTCTGCTTTTATGAGCTTCCGATTTGTGTGTTCGTATTTTCGGATCGTTTTCTTGAGTGATGTTGACATTTAGGCATTATTGGATCGACTTAATCTCTCTCGTGAATATCCTTGCATGTGCACGTACATACACCTATAGTCTGCATGAAAAAGGTATGAAAGCAGAATACATGTGCTTACAAAAGATGAATGATTGATATGCCTCTTTTCTACATGACCCAGGGTTGTTTACGAAAATTGTTGCTTTGCTGTGAATCATTCTTTTGTGTATGGACAATATCGTGCACTCACTGTTACAACAGTTGTTCTGGAATAAATCTGCACAAACATATGAAGTCAAATCGTGTATGTGACAGGTGCTATTCTTTTCGCTTGCATTCAATTCCCTTTTCCTGATGAACATAAGCCGATTTATACGGCTCCATGTATCAGAGTAACGTCTTAACATTGGGTGCCACGTTTCCTAACTAAAGCAGCTCCCGCAGCCCTACTCTGATATCCAATTATGGTGCCTTTGATTTCGCATCCTGCTCCCCTGATCATTTCGCATCCTGCTCCCCTGATCATTCAGATCATCACATCAATTTGCTCCGCGTCCGATTCTCTCAACCCATACCCGTATTTTACCTCATTCGCGTGTTTCTTGTTCTGTATATATGTACCTACCTAACGAGTGACAAGATCGTGTTCATTATTGCATCTTCCATAACTTCGCATCATCACCCTTCATTACAAACATTGAAGGTAGAATGTGATCAAAATAGTAATAGAAACATGAGTTGCGACTGAGTAAAAGTTTATGTATGTCCGACGACAAATGACTAATGACGTTTTGTACAGGAGCAGTGATGGATAGACCTTCCGGCATTTCAACATGCACGTCGTGTTCATAAAGGGCAAGAATCATAGCAACATCAAATCATTTTACGTTAAAATAATTTGCTTTGTATATGGGAAGGGGATCTCTAAAAGCTTTCCTTTGCTTGAAGGCTTCAGTGATATCCCGATGAATTTGCCCCCAGCGACTAAGTTCCTTGCCGATGTTGGTATGTCCTTCTTGGAATTTACGCGGCACCGGTGGCAGACGCCATTCCTGCATTCTGGCCAGCGTTTTGGCGTCCTTGTCATGACGCATCGCCCAGTAGGCAGCCTCCTTGGGTAAGCCTTGTTCGCTGAGAGTTCCGATGCTCACCAGATTGGTAAAGTATTCTGGAATAGTTTCGTCAGCACCGCCATCCTCGCATATTGGCACACTTAGTCGCTCTATGTCCTCATCAGATGATCGGATAGCATAGTCACTTTCTGGCTTGTTCAAATTAATTTGCATCATTTTCCTTGTATCGTGTGCTGAAAGGAAACATCATGCTGTCATTCAATAGAGAAGTCCCGAAAGCACAATGATATGTTGCATATCGCCCGCTTCATATCTACGATATGATTGACATTTATAAAACCTCTATCATGTTCTGAGGAAAATGTTGCTGCCAAGTTTAAAGCAGCCATTACTGATGCATTGACGTACTGAGAAGTTCAGTTCCTTACGGTATACGATGTAGTTATGTTGACCCCCTTGGTCATCTAGGTTCAGAACATGCTGTTGAATCTTGTCCTGGTTAACGTAAAACGTTGCTTGTCCACCTGTGAAAGGTCACAAAAATATTACAAGGCATTAGATATAAATTTGCATCAAGTTGGAAATGAAGAGAACTTGACCATCTATTTTAATTATGATTTATATTCAAATTAAACGGTGTGAATACATAAATTAAAATCGCTTGCGAATAGTGGTGCATAGAGACGAAGGATAAGTCGCAATGAAAAAAGTACGCGTAGATATCATTCTACAAAAATTCACGAAAACTAATTATGATTACTGGTCACTCGTGGCATACAATCCAGAATGGCATTTGAGTATTTAAAATGCTTTGTCATAGTTTCATACTTTCTTTTAAAATATTACGCACGTTTTAGCAGCATGTGTAACGCTAATGTGGCGCGTCCTCACCAAAGCCCTCGGCTCCCAGCTCCCCCAGCTCGAGCTCCTGCTCGCGGTTGTCCGGCACCGCCAGTGTGCCGTTGATCTTCTCGCATATTTCCAAGGCCTCATCGATCGGAGTCATCCTCGGGAAGAAGTGGTATGTCTTGTTCTTGAATGATAACGCCTGGCTCGCATTCATGCCTGAGAAGCAGAAGTAACGTAATAGTGGCTCACATCCAGCTGGGGTATTTCCGTAATGAGTTATTAGACTCACGACATGGGTGGGCCATGGACTGAGAGTGACGTACCGGGTCACGAGATAAAGCAGCAGCCTGGAAAAAAGTTCACAATGAATGCATATTGCATGGTCATTGGTTATGAGTCTTTATTGTTTTCCTTTAGGAAGATGAGGTACCTACCTTTTGCAGCATCGAGATATTGAGTGTGCCATTTGCCGAAGATACAGCGCTTCTTCCTGCCTCCTTTTGTGCTTGTGACGTATCCAGTTGGCACCATTTCGTTATTTTGTAGCTCGCAACCTATAACAAACGAAAACACTTAGAAGGTTGGGCACTGCAGCACCGTGATGGATTGCAATATTAAACAAAGAAGTTTCATTTGTCGAATCAACTATGTTATGACCTAATAACAAAATATCGGACGGAATTTCTGCAACAGAAAGTAGGTTCAGATGTCCTGTCGGGGACGGATCCTGCGTCAGGCAAATACTCACATCCCCTTGCTTCATGGACGATTGTGACGTCGATGAAGGCACCGTACATGGTGTGCCAGCACTCTACGTGCAGGCAGCGTGACGGGTCCCGCAGCATGATTCCACTGCTGCTCGCAGTCATATTGTCCCACCTGCAGGCTGAAAAGGTCCGCAGCTCTCTGTGACTTCACCAGTCGTCCGAAGAAAACTAATAACAATTAACAATAAAAAGCCATTGACAGCTTTCACCGTGGAAGGACACGCCATTATTAAAATCTTAATACGATCATACACGCCACGGGTAAGCGAAAGGCGCATTACATAGGGTGGGGAGAAGTGAACGAGTAGAACGATAAGAAGGATACCCAGAAGTGAGACAAAACGTTATGAAAATGGACGGAAGAGGAAAGCGGAAAGACAGTAGAGTGATCGAAAGGATGAAGTCGATACAGAATGGGTGGATCCAAAGAATGACTGGGAAGGATGGGTTTATCTGCCTTTATGAAAAGGCTATTAACTACTTATACTTATGTATATGGATGTCCAATAATTAAATGACCATGACAAACGACATAGCCGTGAAACGTGATTAGCACTGAAAGCGACTCACTGAACTCATCCGGCGGAGTTGTTGTCCGTTCTGACGTAGAGCTCATGGGTGAGACGGTGTAGAACGATTCTGTCGTCCCGGAGGTCGTGCTCACCAACGAGGTACTTCCTGAGGTGATCTCTTGTGAATGTGTAGTGTCTATTGTTGCTGCATGGGTAGTGTCTGTTGTGGTGGCAGGTGTAGTGTCTGGATGCGTAGTATCTGTTGTTGCTGCATGTGCAGTGTCTGTTGTGACTGCATGGGTGGTGTCTGTTGTGGGTGCATGTGTAGTGTCTGTCGTTGCTGCATGTGCAATGTCTTTTGTAGCTGCCTGTGTAGTGTCTGTCGTTGCTGTATGTGAAGTGTCTGTTGTGGGTGCAGGTGTAATGTCTGTCGTTGTTGCATGAGTAATGTCTTTTGTAGCTGCCTGTGTAGTGTCTGTCGTTGCTGTATGTGAAGTGTCTGTTGTGGGTGCATGTGTAGTTTTTGTTGTTGCTGCATGAGTAGTGCCTGTTGTGGGAGCATGTGTGGTGTCTGCTGTGGGTGTATGTGTAGTGCCTGTTGTGGGTGCATGTGTAGTGTTTGTTTTTGGTTCATGAGTAGTGCCTGTTGTGACTGCCTGTGTAGTGTCTGTCGTTGCTGTATATGTAGTGTCTGCTGTGGGTGCTTGTGTGGTGTCTGTTGTGGCTGCATGTGAAATGTCTATTGTGTCTGCATGGGTAGTGTCTGTTGTGACTGTGTGGGTAGTGTCTGTTGTTGCTGAATGGGTAATGTCTGTTATAGGCGCGTGTGTAGCGTCTGTTGTGGCTGCATGTATAGCGTCTGTTGTAGCTACAGGTGTAGTGGCTGTTGCTTCTTCATGGGTAGCATCTGTTGTGGCTGCATGTGTAGTGCCTGTTATGGGTGCATCTGTAGTGTCTGCTGTGGCTGCATGTGTAGTGTCTGTTGTGATTGTATGGGTAGTGCCTGTTGTTGCTGCATGCGTACTGTCTGTTGTGACTGTATAGGTAGTGTCTGTTGTTGCTGAATGGGTAATGTCTGTTGTGGCTGCATGCGTAGTGTCTGTTGTAGTTGCATTAATAGTGTCTGTTGTTGCTTCATGCGTAGTATCTGTTGTGGATGCATGTGTAGTGTCTGTTGTGACTGTATGGGCAGTGTCTGTTGTTGCTGCATGCGTAGTGTCTGTTGTGACTGTATTGGTAGTGTCTGTTGTTGCTGCATGGGCAATGCCTGTTGTGGAAGCATGTGTAGTGTCTGTTGTGGCTGCATGAGTAGTGTCTGCTATAGCTGCATGTGTGGTGTCTGTTGTTGCTACATGTAAAGTGTCTGTTGTGGCTGCGTGTGTAGTGCCTGTTGTTGGTGCATGTGTAGTGTCTGTTGCGGCTACATGTGTAGTGCCTGTTGTGGCTGCATGTGTAGTGTCTGTTGTAACTTCATGTGTAGAATCTGTTGTGACTGCATGTGAAGTGTCTGGATAAGAAGTGTCAGTTGTAGCTGCATGTGTAGTGTCTATTACGGCTGCATGTGTAGTGTCTGGATAAGAAATGTCTGTTGTAGCTGAATGCATAGTCTCTGGGTGCGTAGTGCCAGTTGTGGCTGCATGTGTAGTGTCTGTTGCGGCTGCATACGTAGTATCTGTTGTAGCTGCATGCATAGTGTCTCTTATGGCTGCATGTGTAGTGCCTGTTGTAGTTGCATTAATAGTGTCTGTTGTTCCTACATGTGTAGTGTCGGTTGTTCCAACATGTATGGTATCTGTCGTGGCTACATGCGTAATGTCAGTTGTGGCTGCATGTGAAGTATCTGTTTCAGTTGCATTTGTAGTGTATGTTGCTGCTGCATGTGTAGTGTCTGTTGCAGCGGCATGTGTAGTATCTGTTGCAACTACGTGTGTAGTGTTTGTTGTAGCTGCATGTGTAGTGTCTGAATGCTTAGTGTCAGTTGTGGCTGCAAGTGTAGTGTCTGGATAAGCTGTATGAATTGTGGCTGCATGTGTAGTGTCTGAATGCATAGTGACAGTTGTAGCTGCAGGTGTAGTGTCTGGATGAGTTGTATCAGTTGGGACGGCATGCGTAGTGTCTGTTGCGGCTGCATGCGTAGTGTCTGTTGTAGCTGCATGCATAGTGTCTGTTGTGGCTGCATGTGTAGTGTATGTTGTAGCTGCATTAATAGTGTCTGTTGTTGCTTCATTTATAGTGTCGATTGTTGCCACATGTGTAGTCTCTGTTGTGGCTACATGTTCAATGTCACTTGTGGCTACATGTGTAGTGTATGTTTCAGTTGCATTGGTAGTGTCAGCTGTTGCTGCATGTGTAGTGTCTGTTATGGCTGCATGTGTAGTGTCTGGATAAGAAGTGACAATTGTAGCTGCATATGTAGTGTCTATATGCATAGTGTCAGTTGTGACTGCATGTGTAGTGCCTGGATAAGTTGTATCAGTTGTCGCTGTATGTGTAGTGTCTGTTGCAGCTGCATGCGTAGTGCCTGCTGTAGCTGCATGTGTAGTTTCTTTTGTTGCTTCAGGGGTAGTGCCTGTTGTGGCTGCATGTGCAGTGTATGCTGTGTCTGCATGCGTAGTGTCTGCTGTGACTGTATGGGCAGTGTCTGTTGCTGCTTCATGGGTAGTGCCTGTTGTGGCTGCATGTGTAGTGCCTGAACGCGTTATGTCAGTTGTAGCTGCATGCGTAGTTTCTGGATAAGTAATGTCAGTTGTGGCTGAATATGTAGTGTCTGTCGTGGCGGCATGTGTAGCGTCTGTTGCTGCTGCATGTGTAGTGTCTGTTGCAGTTGCATTGGTAGTGTCTGTTGTTGCTGCATGGACAGTGTCTGTTGCGGCTGCATGTGTAATGTCAGTTGTGGCTGCATGTGTAGTGTCTATTGTGGCTGCATGTGTAGTGCCCGTTGTAGTTGCATTAGTAGTGTCTGTTGTTGCTACAAGTGTAGTGTCTGTTGTGGTAACATGCGTAATGTCAGTTGTGGTTGCATATATAGTGTCTGTTTCAGTTGCATTGGTAATGTATGTTGTTGCTGTAATGTATGTTGTTGTTGGTAATGCTGTTGTTGTGCTTGTAGTGGGCGCATGTGTGGTGCCTGTTGTGGGTGTATGTGTAGTGTCTGTTGTGGGTGCATGTGTAGTGTCTGTTTTTGGTTCATGAGTAGTGCCCGTTGTGACTGCCTGTGTAGTGTCTGTCGTTGCTGTATATGTAGTGTCTGCTGTGGGTGCTTGTGTGGTGCCTGTTGTGGCTGCATGTGAAATGTCTATTTTGTCTGCATGGGTAGTGTCTGTTGTGACTATGTGGGTAGTGTCTGTTGTTGCTGAATGGGTAATGTCTGTTACAGGCGCGTGTGTAGCGTCTGTTGTGGCTGCATGTGTAGCGTCTGTTGTAGCTACAGGTGTAGTGGCTGTTGCTGCTTCATGGGTAGCATCTGTTGTGGCTGCATGTGTAGTGCCTGTTGTGGGTGCATCTGTAGTGTGTGCTGTGGCTGCATGTGTAGTGTCTGTTGTGATTGTATGGGTAGTGCCTGTTGTTGCTGCATGCGTACTGTCTGTTGTGACTGTATAGGTAGTGTTGGTTGTTGCTGAATGGGTAATGTCTGTTGTGGCTGCATGTGTAGTGTCTGTTGTAGTTGCATTAATAGTGTCTGTTGTTGCTTCATGCGTAGTATTTGTTGTGGATGCATGTGTAGTGTCTGTTGTGACTGTATGGGCAGTGTCTGTTGTTGCTGCATGCGTAGTGTTTGTTGTGACTGTATTGGTAGTTTCTGTTGCTGCTGCATGGGCAATGCCTGTTGTGGAAGCATGTGTAGTGTCTGTTGTGGCTGCATGTGTAGTGTCTGTTGTGACTGTACGGGTAATGTCTGTTGTTGCTGCCTGGGTAGCGTCTGTTGTGGCTGCATGTGCAGTGTGTGAGCGCGTTATGTCAGTTATAGCTGCATGCGTAGTTTCTGGATGCGTGGTGTCAGTTGTGCCTGAATGCGTAGTATCTGGGTAAGTGGTGTCCGTTGTAGCTGCAAGTGTAGTGTTTAGACTCGTATTGACAGTTTTGGCTGTATGCGTAGTGTCTGGATAAATCGTGTCAGTTGGGGCTGAATGTGTAGTGTCTGTCGTGGCTGTATGTGTGGCGTCTGTTGCTGATGCATGTGTAGTGTCCGTTGCAGTTGCATTGGTAATGTCTGTTGTTGCTGCATGGACAGTGTCTGTTGCGGCTGCATGTGTAATGTCAGTTGTGACTACATGTGCAGTGTCTATTATTGCTGCATGTGAAGTGCCCGTTGTAGTTGCATTGGTAGTGTCTGTTGTTGCTACATGTGTAGCATCTGTTGTTGCTACCTGTGTAGTATCTGTTGTGGTTACATGCGTAATGTCAGTAGTGGCTGCATATATAGGTTCTGTTTCAGTTGCATTGGTAATGTATGTTGTTGCTGCATGAGTAGTGTCTGTCCTGGCTACATGTGTGGTGTTTGTTGAAGCTGCATGTGTAGTGTCTGCTGTGGCTGCATTAGTAGTGTCTGCATGTGTAGAGTATGAATGCGTAGTGTCTGTTGTGGCTGCGTGTGTAGTTTCTGGATGCGTGGTGTCAGTTATGGCTGCATGCGTAGTATCTGGGTAATAAGTGTCAGTTGTAGCTGCACGTATAGCATCTAGATTCGTAGTGTCAGTTGTGGCTGCATGTGTAGTGTCTGGATAAGTAGCGTTAGCTGTAGCTACATGTTCAGTGTGTGCTGTTGCTGCATGTGTAGTGACTGTTGCAGTTGCATTGATAGTGTCCGTTGTTCCTGCATGGGTAGTGTCAATTATTACTGTATATGTAGTGTCAGTTGTGGCTGCATGTGTAGTGTTTGTTGCAACTGTTTCAGAAGTGTCTTTTGTGGCAGCATGTGTGGTTCCCGGATGCGTAGTGTCAGTTGTGGCTGCATGTGTAGTGTCTGCTGTGGGTACATGTGTTATGTCAGTTGTGGCTGCATGTGTAGTTTCTGTTGTAGCTGCCCTTGCGGTGTCTTTTGTGACTGCATGTGTAGTGTCTGTTGTGGCTGGAGGTGTGGTGTGTTCTGTAGCTGATTGTGTAGTGTATGTTGTGGCTGTGTGGGTAGTGACTGTTGTGTCTGTATGAGTGTCATATGTTGTGGATGATGATATGATAAAATATAGCCCTTTGCTGGTTTGTGTGGAGCCATTTTGGCCCTCTTTAGCATACTGTAGATCAGGTGTTGCAGTGCTCGTGCTCGTTGCTAATACGAGACTTTCACCGGCCAAAGTACTGGCGGTGCTCTCAGTAACACCAACCGAAGTGTGAGTAACGGCAGCAGAAATGTTGGAGGCATCAGCGGACTGAGTAGCAGAACTGACGGGTGCCTCGGAACCCACATAAGCGACAGTTGGTTTTTCAGACTCCGCGTCTGTCAGACTTGTTATTACACGACTTCTGTCTGTAGTCGCTTCAGTTGTGAAATTTACTGGTTCTTTTGTCGTCTGGGCTTTTGTCAGCCACGCAGCTGTGTGCAGATCAGTGATGTCTGCAGAAGTGTGGTTACGGGATGATGTTGATGCATCTGATGTTACGTTTGTTTCGTGGGTTTCTGTCACAGGTGACTCTTCACTAACTCGACTAGTTGAAGTTGCATTAGAAGTAGCCATCTCTGTTGTGATTTCTTCAATACTATGAGTCACTGTTAACGAAGGTGAAGCTGTTTTTATCGTAGTTCTTGAAGTGCTTGATGGTAGCGTTGTTTCAAAACGCTCAGTTTCCCCTGCAATGGTGGTTTTTTGCTCGATCGAAGTAATTTCTGTCGTTGAATATGTGACATTACTGGGAACACTCGTAGGGCTTTCCATTGAAGACATATTACCGACGTTTTTCATTGACTCATGAGTTTCGTTGAAAAGTTGAAAAGTTGTGCCGTTATCTAATAAAAAACTACTGTCAATGGGCGACTGCGTTCCAAGAGGTTCTGTGACCTCATCTGTTTGACCGGTGGAAGTAGATATTTCGGTGGTATGTTTTATCTCGCTTGTTACACGAAATGTGTCATTGCGCTGGTCAGGATCCTTTGTCGCGTTTTCCGATACTATTTCTGATCGGTTTCTGAATATCTGAAAGGGCGTTGATGCTGACGCTGTTTCAGGCGTTGGCTGTGTGGCATTGTAAGACGATCTGGTTGTCGCCGCAGTAGTGTTTAGGCCTTCTTCGTCCATATGTGTCAGATTTAATACAGCCAGCGTCGAAGACAAAATTTCAGAAGTTGGCACTGCAGTTGGTGGGGGCGTTTCTTCAACACTCGAAAATGTTGTTTGCCTTTCTGTGGTACGTTGCGTTGTTTCAGTTGTCTCCCTTTCCTCCCCAGGTCTGGCAGGCGTAGAAGCCTCGTGCTCTGAAGCATTTGTAGCCATTGTTGTATGTAGCTGCATTTCTGGCTGTTCGCTGGTCGCATTAGTAAATAAAGAGGGACTGGTTCCCCTTTCCAGCGTCGCTGCGGAGGTCGCTGTCTCTGTCGTAAGTGTCGCGTTTTCTGAGGTGACAGAGACTGTGGTCCACGCCGTAGTTGTTGGAGCAGTGACGTCCTCTGACCAATTTCCCTTCTGGCACGTCTGATGCCCTGACTGTGCTCCATCTTGATACAGTTGGCCATCCCGGACACAACCTGAAATGCATGCAATATCTTTTGTTAACCTACCATTTATTTCGAGATTGACTGATCTAATTTATCTATCCTTAGTTGCAGTGTTTTTAGTGGGAAAACTTAAATTTGCTGTGATGCATCTGACTTGAACAAAATCAGTTATGATATATCCCAAACCTGTTATGTCGCCCGCTATGTACATAAATATTTTTTAAACAGCCATTTGCGCAGTGCGGGCAACTATCTATATTAGGGTAGGGTGGGGTAATTTGAACATGTGGGGCAATTTGAACATAGTGTGAATAACACAAAATTACGGAAAATCCATAAGTGGCATGACAATAACACCAATGAGAGAAATTATTGTAACTAAAAGGGCTATCATATGAACGGGGTTTAAAGTTTCAGGGAATGAAGATGTTGACGCACAGTGTAAAAAATCAATTTCGCAAGGAAAAACGCCTAACAACACGTCATTGCAACTTCATTGCAGCGCAAAATCTTGCATTGCTAGCGCCTAATACGCAACGGCTTTTGTTGTATAATGACCTAGGGGAGAGTGGGGTGGGTTGTATCAGTTTTTACTCCGAGACCCATAACCTCGTAACTACGCATGATAAACTCATTATTTTCATACTATCCCCTTCCTTGATTCTTCTGCTTTTTTGTGCAAAGTAACTTTTCCGCTACCTCTACCAGTTTTTCTTCTACGGTCTGCCGAATAGAACAATGTTTTTGATACAACTTGCCCCATGGCTTGGGTGAGTTGTATCAGATGGTGGGGTAATTTGTATCACTATTTCACGTTTCAGGGAGTGTGCTTGCTACTGGTTTTGAACATAACAACAACATTAAATGGGGTTAATACAATGTATAGTTATGCTCAAAGGCTTCACTTTATTAGACCAAACTTAGGTCAATGCAATCCGAACGAAACATCAACAGACTAGACGCAAAAGTGGCCCGTTAAGAGCAAAGAAGCCAACACATTGTGCCGAAATGGAACGAGCATTGCCTAGCTACCTACAAACGCGAGCCAGGGCTTAGCTTTCGCGATCAAAGGCAACATACCCATGCATACATACATACATACATGTTACAACATACCCCACCCGGCTCTGATACAACATGTACCTCGCCGCCATCTTGGAAAAAATATCCTCGTGCTAAAAAAACAGCGGACAGCTGGATATTTCCGTTTTCACTCACGCAGCCTTAGAACCTACCCTCACCACCGCTACGGAGATCTTTCAAATTCGTGCACATATAAATGCCCAAAACACACATTTTCTTGCGACTTATTTTTTTAGAATGACATTAAAAAAAACATAAAATCGGCTCTCACCTCGAGACGCGTCCACTCAGCCACAAGACAGAACAGGGAAAGATGGCGCCCGGAAAACCTCGTCGGCTGGTCGTGTCACGAGCGCCATCCATTGGATAAGTTTGGCACAATTCGCCCTGATACAACTTGGACATGATACAACTCTCCCCGCTCTCCCCTAATCAGTGCCTTCAATCCAAGAAATTCGCTTTTGAACCCTGTTTTTTAAAATGGCAAAATAACTTTTAGCGTGGGGTAATTTGAACATAGTGTGAGAATTTCAATGAAGACAGGGATACCTCCGAAAAAAACAACGCTCCCAGTTTTTTTTTTGCCAATATTTTCGTACCAAAGCAGTAGCAGATAAGTGATGCCAGTTTTAGAAAATTTACGTCTAATATCCGTCTTATGTCCGGCATTTTCGTTGATTTTCCGTCCAAAAATGTTAAAGTCAACTATTTGTCCAAATATGTCCGAATATTATGCAGCTATCAACACTCAAAATCGTCATTTATATTGCTTATCATGTAATTTTACCAGCCGAAAAGTGTTCATTATATTGAGAGCTTAACAAGCTTTCCATTCGCCAATCAATGCTATGCACGATTACTTTATAAAAAGCGCTGAAGTGTAGCAAGCCATCGTCCAATGTTGTCCAGTCTGCTACCTTTGTCCAACCAATTCCGAATTGGACATGGACAAAATCAGAACTCCAAATGTCTAGGTTTCGATTGGCACCACTTTAACAGATGTAGTAAGGTTGGGAGAGTTTTTATCGAACAAAAAT